TTCTTGTTCACAAAAAAATCGAATTTCACCTGATACGACCAGGTTTCACCAAAAAAGTCAGATTTTACATGATATGATCAGTAAAATTCAGGTTTCACTGAAAACGTCAGATTTCACATGACACAAACAATAAACGCAGGTTTTACATAATAATCGCAAAAATAACAAATTTCACATGATACAATTAATCAACACAGATTTTCTCTTTTTGCAACCCAGATTTCACCCTGTCATATTATTATTATTATAATTTTTTTAGAAAATTGAAACAAAAATCACGTGATTGTTGAGTTAAAGATTTCTAATACCATATTTGTATTATTTGCTGATCTTACCTAAACAAGAAATAATCTGTCATCGCCATCCACGATTTTTTCTTCACGAAACTCAATGAAAATGCACTAATAAAAAATGACTTTATGCCAACTCTAATGCTAATCTTTAACGTTAATTAGTGCGGAATGTCTCGGGTAATTGTTGTGGCCGGGAAAATCTGATCGGGAAATCACGTGAAGGAAAAATCAAGATTATGACAGAAACTTCTATCATGGTATCAGACTGATAATGTCTTTAATATTTACTACAATCATCATTAATGCAATTCCTGCTATGTAAACATCGAGGATATGCCATCCCTTTTTCAGTTTGGTTGTACTCTACTTAAATGGATCTACAGGTATTTCTGATCTAGTATTCGTGACACACTTTGGCTGCCTCGTCAATAGATTCTGACGGAGAACCATAGAACAGGATTGAGACAGCCCGAAAATAAGCATTATTCTAAGCAAAAGATTGTGTTAGTTTAGATTTAGATTTAGATTTCCAAAAGAATTTTAGAAGCATTAGCAAGTTCTTCTGGTATAAGTTCCGTTTCCAAAGTGAAATAAATATGGCTTTCTGAACAATCGACATGTCGAATTGGTCGGTTTTGACTAGAGATGTTTTGCGGTTTATTTGGTTTGAAATGGTTTAAATAAACTTATTAATTTTTTTTAAAAGTTAGTATGATTTTTTAATAATTTTAATTAGCGTTAGTAATTTTACGATAATTAATTTGATTAGAAAAATAATTATACTAGGAAATGGATACCATTTATATGTCCTGAGCTAATAAATTTTATATACCAACAATAAAATTTTATTAGAATATTTAGAATTTTTTGTGTTCAACCAATAAGTTGTAGAAATAGTGTCCTTCGCTTCGCTCCGGACCAATGACTCATATGACTTTATTATATAATATTACGCATTGTTTATGAAGATCAAATTACACATCCTATAATATAATAACTCATTTCGTCTTCATGGATCAAACTCCAAGTAAAGATCTAATCAGTCTCTCCACTAGCGATGGTGTACACATACCCTCCCCAAAACCAACAGAAGTGGTCCTAGACGAAGACTCTTACACCGAAGCAATAAGTGAAATCATTAAGCGCGATTATTTTCCTTCTCTTAAAACCTTAGAAGCGCAACATGGTTACCTGGATGCTCTAAGTTCTAGAGATCCCACATTACTTCGTGATGCTACGAGGAAACTCTCCAAAATAAATACTCCCCTGAGAAAAACACCAGGTATGGATGTGTTGTAACATTAAACTGATCAAATTGTGAAAACGAAGAGCTCACTAACGTTACTGTTTTTGTTAAAGCGGCTACTCCAATAATATCGAGAACACCACAAAGAGGAGAATGGGATACTCCCGTATCAACAAGAACAACATCGACTAGAATTACAAGTGCTACAGCTACCACGTCACCCGAAAAAAAATATAACACCAATTTATCGTTAGATGCCTTTCAAACGAAATACACTAGCGAAGATAATGCTTCATATCCTTAATAATGTGTGGCCAGATTTAGGATTTCGATTCATAGATTTTTTGGTTTTCAAGTTCGAGAAAAATTAGTTTTTTGGTAACCTTTAAACCCTTAACAATTTCACCTTTTCTGAATTGATGAAGAAAGCGGAAGAACAGCGAAAAGAAAAGCATAAATGGATGTATGATAAAGAATCTGGTCCGTTATTGTTGAAAGATGGCGTGGTGGAGTCCCAGAAATTGATTGAAGGATCTTCAGAATCAAGGCCTGCGCCAATCGAGACTTGGAAATATAAGGTATTTTATCTTTACGTGTAGAAATTGAATCCATGCAAGTTGGATTTGTGTATTTATTTATCTTTTAATTACCCTATTTTTAAGGTCAAAAATGAACTCATGTTTTACCCAGAAGGGCACACATCACAACCTGAAGAAAATCCCAGAATAGCACCAAAAGAAATTGCGCCGGCCAATACACGGTTTGAAACACCAGATGAGACGGTAACTCTTATTAAAAACTAATAAAGTCAAAAGTGGCATTTTATTTTTGATCGTATTAAAATATAATCATCACATTTATCTCGTACAGAATATCAATAATCACGCTGCAGCAATTGCAGCAATAGCATCTGGTTTTGAGTCATATGCTTCATCCGGTATGTAAAACAAGAAACTGACAACTTTTACAAGGAAAACTTTATTTATTTTATGTGCGCGTCTTTTGCTTTGGAATAATACTAGAATCAACTTCGGAAGCGGGTACACCGAGAGTAGCGGGATACGAGTTTGTATCGCCAACGCCTTCACTTAATCCTTCCCAAGTAGACAGCTCAGAATTAATGACTTGGGGTATGATAGAGGGAACTCCTCTTCAAATTAGCGGAGATCAAACACCAGGTAGATGCTAATTTTTCAAAATTTGTTATTCATATATAAGTATTTCTAAACTTTGATATCCTCTATATATAGGTCCTGCTTTTTCATTACCTCCTACCCATCGCAGAGAAATGCTTGGTATGAGCCTTTCAAGCACTGCATCTCGAAATATTCGCAAGCGAGTTAGCGCAATGAATACTCCTCGGACACCTTCTTCACGGAGTGCACTAGGAGCCAGGTAAAGCATTTATTTTAATAACGATAATAAATCTCTGAAATGGATATGTGTGTGTATTAACGCTATATCATTAGGATGGCAAGTACAAATGCACGAACATTATTATTATCCCCTGCAGCAAGAAAATTATTACGGAAATCACATAAAACGCACACGTCTCCAAGCGCAGATTTAGACTTACAATTAAGGTCATCATATGGAACTTTTCGTAGTACATCATTGAAGAATGGTATGTATTAATTCGGGTTATCTATCTAGTATACTTTGGAGATTTCTTGCTTATTTCCCCCCTATGTTTAATTTTTTAGTTCCTTTTTCTCCTGCACGGTTTAATTCACCATCTTCTGCATATATCCGGAGAAGTTCCGGGGCATCATCACAATCCTCATCCATTACAACTGGGAGTGAAACCTCTGTGTCTAGAGATGTTGTTGCTAATCAATAACATTCTTTGAAATTCTACCTACAATTTTGTGTTCGATCATCTGCATAAATAAACAACCAAATAGAGTCAGTTGACTTATTTAATTCTAAATAGCTTTTGTGCAGAATATTGATTCTTAAAAATGGTCGAGTACACGTTTGAGACTTTAAATGTAACACGTCTAGATGACTATCTTTTACATGTTGAATTGAACAGGCCAAAAAAGCTTAATGCATTAAATGAAACGTAGGTGTTTTTTGACTAAAAACCTATTTAGACTCAAATGTTTTAACAGATTGAATCTTGAATTAGAGTATGGCAAGAACTGAAAGCTTGCTTTACACAAGTTAAACATGATTCTGAAGTACGAGCTGTTGTAATTTCGGGAGCAGGAAAAATTTTTACTGCTGGAATAGATCGTAAGAAATGACGTATTCTTTTTATGTGAAATGTTTTTCATCTTAGCATATATCTTAAATTATAGTCTTTGAGATACCATTGGTTGGCTTAAACACATCAGAAACTGATCCAGCTCGAAGCTCTCATATGACGCGTCTAAATATTTTGGTAATTGAACCCATTTTTTCTTATATATTCAATCTTATTTCTAATCCTTTTCGATCTTGTAATTAAAGAGATTACAAGATTCCTTTAACTCAATCGAACAATGTGACAAACCTGTGATTGCTATAGTGCACAGTCATTGTGTTGGCGGTGGGGTTGATATGATAACCGCCTGTGATATTCGATATTGCAGTAAAGACGCGACTTTTTCTGTTAAAGTAAGCAAAATTGTATGATGTTTGTTGAATCTTTATCTTCTTATTAAAGGGCAAATAAATATACAATTTTTTAAGGAAGTTGATCTTGGGCTAGCCGCTGATGTTGGTAAGAAATTGATGTTTTAAATTGTTGAAAAGTTGATTCCTTTGTGAATGAATTTAAATTGACTAATTGATCATACAAATAAAATGCGTCGGTACAGGCACATTACAACGTTTACCCAAGGTGATAGGAAATGACAGTTTTGTAAGAGAAGTGTGTCTTACTGGGCGAAAGTGTGTTGTCAGAAAATCTGTATTGATTGATGCGATCTTTTCTTTACAATAAACTAATTCATTCTAATATTCATATTTTAGTTTCTCGTCGGAGGAGGCATTGACTTTCGGATTGGTAAACAAGATATTACCGACGAAAGAAGACGCTTTTGGTGAGTATTGTTAAGAATCCGTTTTACTGGCAAATTACTTTACTTACCGGCTATTTTTTTTTGATTTTACTTATTCAGCTGAAGGTTTAAAAACCGCCAAAATTATTGCTTCAAAATCTCCTGTTGCCGTTCTTGGAACAAAGTGGGCTATTATTTTCGCGTTCAATAAAATTGAACTTGAAATCCTATAATTATATATTTATGCGAATTTTTATTGCAAATCTTATTCGTTAGACACCTACTGAATTACTCGCGCGAACATTCGACCTCAGAAGGACTCAACTACACGGCTGTTTGGAATTCAGCTATGCTAAATACAAAGGTGTGTAATGATAAAAATTCATGTTAATAACCGTTGAGACGCGCGATTCTCATTTTGTGAATTTCCTTTTACTTGAAAGGATATTGGTGAAGCTACTAAAGGATTTTTTGAAAAAAAGCAACCAAAGTTTTCCAAACTTTAATTTTAATCATCTTTATCAATAGACCAAACAATTATCACCAGGTGAGCTTTTAACATTGTGTTAGATCTAAACTTGAAATCACAAAATCTAATAAAGGAAAGTTGTGAAATTTAATTATAATTCTTCTATTTTCACAAATGCAATGGCACTGTTCAAATCCAAAATTTGAAATTTACATCCTAAATTAAATAATGATTATTAACTGACACACCAAGCTAAAAAAAATCTTTCATCCTATACACGTCAAATATTATGATGATGATTATTTTATAATCTATTATTATTATGTTTTTTCATCAGCTCTGGCTACGAGGATAAATTCAAATCAAACTAAAAATATCCACTTTCTTTCTTTTATTCTTTGATGCGTGTGTTTGATAATTCGGTGATGGTTAATTGAGGGACTTATTAGCTGTTCTATGCGCCACCTCTAAGGTTGCAAATGAAAAAATCGTTCAGCCAAAGTAAAAGACAGACTTTGATTTACACCAAATACTCGTAAAATTAAAAACTCACACTAAAATATTATTGATTGGGATGTGAATCAATTTCACGAAAAATCCAATGAATCCCATCACAACGAAGCCCATTGCAACTGCTTGAGAAATCTTGATGAATTCTATAATAATCGAGACAAGTAAAAAAGTTACGCGTTATCCTATATGATTCATTCGTAATGCTTTTTTCGAACTTATATGATTCTTTGCGAACCATCGTACTCGTAAATCTTTTTTTAATAAATAACGTTCACGTAGATGACGGACTATATATAGGTCAGAAAAAGTGATTAGACACAATAGACTAACCTCGTCGATCCGGTTTTGTACACCGGTTTAGAAACTGTGTACCTTCTTTGACAAATTGTTTTGGAGTGTCAACTACCTCTTTGATGTACTCTGACATTTTACTCGACTTATGTTTTTTATATAGTGTAGAAAGAGATGAGCGAAACAGTAATGGTAACGAATATCGATGTCAAGTGGAAAAGTAAATCTTTTAATAAAATTTTGACCAATTATAACCCGTTACGTTCACTTTTTTGTTGATCTACTATACAAATATTATTAGCCTTGACCCAATAACGATAACACACGCGCTACAACGTCTGATGAATAAATAAAACCAAACTTCTCCAGTAAATATCTGGTCTTTTTCCTTCATTCTGACAAATATAGTCGTGCCGCATTTACATCTCGGTAAGAGAGCATGTTGCTTACCAAGTCAGATTGCGTCTTTTTTCATTCAAGACCGTTTAACACCTTTAGATCGGAAAATTGTCATTTCTCATTTCGTATTCGTAGACGTAACATTTTAATTCAATTGTAGATTCCTTCGTAATTAGTGTATCATTTTATTTGTATTTTGTTCATAAAATGGAGATCTATTAATTTTACAAAGAAAGAAATGAGCCAAAGCAGGAAAAAAACTACTCAAAACTCTACCATTTGGAAAAAGTCTTTGGTCCATTTCCTAATTTGATTTTTGCCAGTTAGTTTTTTTTTATTCATTAATTGTTTATTTTCGGAGAGCTTTTGCTTATTTTTTTATTTATCTGATGACACTTCCATTCTTTATAGCAAATGAAATGCAAGATTCAAAAATAAATACATAAAAAATAGTTATTTTCTATTATAAGTTGGTATCATCTTTTTCTTTGAATTTGAGACTAACACTATTCACACAATGACGTTCATCCGCTTCTGTGAATTTCCATCCTTCACCCTATAAATATGAATGAAATAAATCAGAAAACTCAATTCATGAAATTAGAATCAATGTAATTGATTCATACCTTGAAAACGTGTCCTAAATGTCCACCGCAGTTAACACATGTAATTTCAGTTCTTGTTCTGCCAAGTGAATTATCTTCGTGTCGTTCAACAGCACCTAAAACAAAAGAATTATTAAATTAATTATCAAGTTGATCAATTATCTATTTCACCAATTCTTACCTGGAATTGCATCAAAGAAAGCTGGCCACCCGCAACCCGAATCAAATTTTGTATCAGAGACGTATAGTGGAGCGTTACATGCCGCACATTGATATACGCCTACATCCAGATTAAGTATTAAACTAAGGCATAAATTACAAGCTTGATTTTTAAGTTAAAGAAAAGAATTTTACCTTTTCCTTTAAATTTCTCATATTCGCCTGTCCCAGCTAACTCGGTACCTTTTTCACGCAAGATATGAAATTGTTTAGGTGTGAGAACAGCGCGCCATTCCTCGTCACTTTTTGCTGCCGTCATTTTGTTTATAATAGGACTATTACTGTTTTTATTGGCTTGTGAAGAAACGGAAGAAGATATTCTCGATGAGAAAAATGAGATTAGGGATAATGGAATTGTGATAAAGTGAGTTGTGGTATTGTGATTATTATAGATATTATTCCTATTATTATAATAATAAATAGTTTTTGTATCTTTCTTTGAAAGTACCCAGTTGATATTTTTTAGGATGCAAGAATCGGAAAAGAACCATTTATTTGCAGTATTTATAGAATTAAAAATTCTGTTGTTAACATATAATCTGAAAATCATTTTCTCGAAACTCCGATTACAAATACAAGTTAGCGACATTGTGCATACTTGATATGTGAGAAATTCCAAGACAGGAAATTTTCACGAAAACAAATATCGATATGAATTTAGAAGTTCTGAATTAGGAAAGAGTAAATTCATTGAACAAAGGCAAAGGTCACACAAATCGTGCGTTGGATTAGTAATCTACACATTTTTTTAGAGTTTGGCTTTAGAGTTTGGCTTTACATTTACATTTTCATTTTCATTCAGTTTTTTCCTAAGATGCCTCTTCCAAAGTCAAATAAAAATGCGGGTCTCGGAAGAGCTATCATTCGTGATAGGTTTAAAGGAAACACACGTCCAAGAGATGGAGATACTACTTTAGTATGTCATATGGTTATAGTTTAGTTTATTCGCCCATAGCAAGCTTTAACTGTCATATTCGTCACTTGAAATAAGCATACAACAAACTTAGACGACGGCCCAAGTTGGACAAAGCTACGTTCCATCACGCAAGAACGCGATCTCGACGAGTTTCTAACTACTGCCCAGTTGGCAGGAACTAATTTTACTGCAGGTATAAAAGAGATTTCGGATCTAGATTTCTTTTTTGCTTTATCGTATTTATGCTTACCTGGAATATTTGAAATTACAGAAAAATTGAATATTACTGTTGTGAAAAATACATATCGTAACCCCTTTTTACTTGACGCTGAGAAAGAACGGGAGACACTTAAAAGACATGCGGAAAATAAAGATAAATTAACTATTCCACGACGGTATATATCTTTGTGAATGAAATTAGTTAATTGGCTTTATAGATTTTTCTGACATTTATCAATATTTTTTTGGATTAAAAAGACCTAAATGGGATAAGACAACCACCACCGAACAACTAGAGCGCAACGAGAAAGATGCTTTTCTAAAATGGCGACGCGAATTAGCCTAGTAAGCTAAACGTAATTTCTAGACTCGATTTAATTAATTTCTATGAATCCAATTTCATTTAATATCTTCCCACGAAAACATAAATTTTCCAGTTTGCAAGAACAAGAAGAATTCCTCCTAACACCATTCGAGAAAAATCTCGAAGTCTGGCGACAACTCTGGCGCGTCATCGAACGTTCACAATTGGTCGTTCAGATTGTGGATGCGCGAAATCCATTGTTCTTTCGTTCGACGGATTTAGAGAAATACGTGAAGGAAGTAGATTTAAACAAAAAAAATATTTTGTTAGTTAATAAAGCGGATTTGTTAACGGATAAGCAAAGGTAAAAGTAATTTGCGGAAAAAGTTTATAATCTTCACCCTCACTCAATACACAAGGCACTTCTTGCTTTACATAAAAATTGCTCTGACTAATTCTTCTTCCTAGACAGATTTGGGCAGATTATTTCGAATCACAAAATATAAAATATATTTTTTTCTCGGCTACTCTTGCGCAAGTTGAAAATCTTGAGGATGAACAAACGAAAGAATTGGATGATGAATCTATCGAAAAAGAATCTTTAAAGACCGAAAATGAAAGCGAAGATGAAGAAAGCGAGGTAAATTTTCATCTGCGATAAATAATATCTTTGTATTATTTAAATTTTTTGCGTATCTTTTCTTATATGATCAGGCGAATGTTGTCGACTCAGAGCAAATTGTATCTCAAGGAATTTCGACGACTTCAATATTCACTACCAAGATCCCCATTAATAAAGATGATGTTCTAGATGTTCTACAAACTTCATTGCCAATTCTTGAAGATGAAGTTTCAACCAAAGTAGAAATAGATAATAGTATGGGACGTTTAAATATTAATCAAGAAAATATTCTCATTGTGAACGAAAACGATATACCTCTTCAACCTCTAAAGGATGAACGAATTCAAATTCGTACAACTTCAGATTTATTATCTTTGTTGGATGCAGAAACAAATGAACTTGAAGGTATTTGAATTCTACTTTCTTACTACTTTTACAGACCACAGAAATTATCAAGCTCATTAAAAATAAATTAAATAGGTTTCGTTCAAGGTGCTCCCCAAAAACTCACGATTGGTCTCGTTGGTTATCCAAATGTCGGGAAATCATCAACAATCAATGCACTTTTGGGTCAAAAGCGCGTATCGGTGTCATCAACACCCGGTAAAACAAAACATTTTCAAACAATCCAACTGTCATCAACGCTGACATTATGCGATTGCCCGGGGCTGGTATTCCCGAATTTCGCCACGACTAATGCCGATATGGTGTGTAATGGCGTGTTACCAATTGATCAGTTGAGAGAGTTTACTGGTCCTGCGGCATTAATAGCTCAGCGAATTCCACGAAAAGTTCTCGAAGCAATCTATGGAATAACAATACGTACTAAAAGTGCAGATGAGGGAGGAGATGGTGTTCCAACCGCTGAAGAGTTGTTGACTGCTTATGCTGGTACGAATTGTTTTTTATTTTATTGATAGCATTTTTCCTAAGTCAATTTGTGGTAATCATTTAAATTGTAAAATAGTTGCTCGAGGATTCACAAAGGCCGGGTTTGGAGAACCTGATGAATCACGTGCAGCGAGATATATATTGAAAGACTATGTAAATGTAAGTAGACAAATTTAGTACATCAATCAAACTTATTTAATTAAGTATTTTAAAAAATTTGCAGGGTCGAATTCCCTTTTGTCATCCACCAGATACTATATCAGCACGTGAATTTAACGCAGAATTACACGACATTGAACGTTTTCTAAAACCAAAAAAGAAAGCAGCAGATACTAATATCGAAAAAGAATCTGACATCTCTTCTTTAAAGACATCATTATCAACATCAGATAATGGTTCGATAACCGACATTGTATCCATGACTGGAGAGAAATCCCGAGCTTTGGACAAGTCGTTCTTTAATAAACCGTCAACTTCTGGCAGTGTGCAAATTAAGGGTAGCAAATTTGCCTCATTTGGTAGCAATAATGATAATTTTCATCGAGTAAATATTTATCAGATACATGGAAAAATTGCTGATGATGGGACATTGGTAGAAACGAAAGATGGGTCATCTTCACAATTTTCTTTGGCCCAGAATTTACTTTTGTCGCCTGCTATTGGGAAGAAACATCATAAGAAAGGCAAAAAGAATATTAAGAATAGGAGGAAGATTGGCTATGAATGAAAAGTGAGGGAAACTCGTAAAATAGTTAATAGATAGTCTAAACTTATTTATTTTTGTTTTGTTTCTTTTTTTGCCTCATTTTATTGTAAAATTAATCACTTTACAAATGACACTTTGATTTATAATAATACTGCAGCCATCGAAAACTTCTCATTATTCCTACACTATTACTATTATTGGTATATGATTATAATTATGTATTCCCAGACGACGTTTCAACCTTTCTGCCTTAGTAATAGATAAATGCAACATTTCAAGTGATATCAACCCTTATATATACTCTTTAACCAATTTTCTATACAACATGTTCCAAGCACGATCAGTCAAGGGATACGGGCGTTTATATGCCTTTTGATAAGACGCACATCTCCGAAGACGATCGATATCATAAAAATTATTTGATGCGTCTTTAGTCTGAGCCATAATTTCGGTTCTCTTATGGAGTTCTTCTCTTTTGGCAAGAAGTAAACCTCTTAATTCTATCGATCGGATTCGTTCTTCTCTAAGGAATGCCATTTCAAGAGCTCTCGCATTTCTCATGAGTTTCGCACCTTTTTTCTGTCTCTTAATCAACCAATCCTGACGTTTTTTGGAAGGGAGAGATTTATATGTTTTTGCATTTTCCAACACGTCGTCAATCCAATAGTATCGTCGATTGCCAAGTCTACGAAATACATGTGCATCAACAAATGGAAGGCCTGCCAAGATATTGCGCGTATTACGACGTTTAAACCTTGCATCTGTTTTGATATCGTGATTCGTGATAGTCTTTCTCTGAAAACATGAACCACAAATCCGAGCACGAAACGCCCAATAGATTTTTCGCACAAGTTTAGCGCCGCAAATTTGACATCCTTTCTCTAGAGCAAGACGTATATACGCAATCTCGTCCATTCCTCTGGGAGGTGGTAAAGTAAGATATCGGACGAATTCTTTTCTAGAGGCGGCCCAGATTCGTTGAGTCGTGACAGACTCTTTGGAGGATAACCAGGCATGAAAAGTTTTGCAAGTTCTCGCGAGTCTTAAGAGATCGGCTGGTGGTAGATTCTTGCATATCTCAATAAAAATCTCTGGAGGGATGGATATGGCGAGGCATTTGTTTTGAGCTGATTCTTCGTCTTGCTCTGCTTTTATTTCCATTTTGTCTGTTGATCTTGCAGATTCTTCCGGTTCTGCCGTCATTGTTGTCGTCGTTGATTCATCTTGAATCTTACAAATTATTAATGTTAATATAATAAAGTGCAATTTGATTGATCAAGAAAGAACAGTCAGGATTCGATTTAACGGCATCGCGATTTTATTTTCCATTCATGGAAATAGCATTGCGATTTAAAACAAAAACTCGTTAAATATAGATTTTAATTAGCCATCGTTAAATCATGCCCTCCATTTATACCTTATCGACGACAGCAACTTCGGACGTGTTCAGATCTGGATTCACCGGTACTACTTTACTCTTATTTTGAACTGCTTTCACTACGCTCCTTTTATTGGAGGCCAAACTGATTTCTGTACGCTTACGCGTGGAAGATCGCATGACACGCGTCATTGCTGAAAAGATTTAGAGGTAGGATATACAGAAGTTGTTTTTGAATGTAATAGTCTATTTAGAATAGTAAATATTATCGAATGGACAAATAATAATAGGAATAAAATTCTTAATATTATCATACAATGAACATACGAGACTTTAATGCAAAGAAATAAACGCGAAAATAATACATGAAGCGAACACTGAATTCTTCTTATTACATCAGCACTGCGAAAAGATTTTGGAGAAAGACTGGTGCTAATGCACAAAACCACACGTTATTGAGCACAATTTGTATCGTTCTGCAACTGGATTTTAATGTTGCTATGATTAGTATCGTTTTAGGCAAGAACTTGTCAAACACGTAAAAAATAGCAAATGTTACACAGAGGTTCGTTTCAAAATGAAAAGAAATATGCACTAATCCCTAGACTTTGCACTTTATTTTATATCAGCTGACTGCCAGATATTTTGAAAATTTATTCGGATGCATTCGTTTATTTAAATATTCTTTAATCCCGACCATCATTTTTTATTATTTTTCGTTTCTTCGTTTTTGGCTCCTTGATTTCTTCCATTCGTCGCCAAATATCTTCATCTTGGTCACTTTCTTGTATCTCATTATCTAGAAACATACAATTTCATTAAGTAGAAAAGTTATTAATTTGCAAGATAAATATCATAAAAAAATACCTTTATCACATTCATTATTATCAACCACCAAACACGAAAGTCTCTGCTTCAAATAGACTTTGTGTAATAAATTTCGTGACCCTTTTATCTCGTGGACACGTAAAAAACGGTCAAGTCCGACCGTTACTAATGATTCTGAGTTTGGGTGTATTGCCAAATCACGCACGGATCCAGTAAACCCTATATGAATTGATAAATTGGTATTTTCGCTCGTTAACACAAAGTCGATTTATATATATGGATTTGTCACCTTTAAACTGGCCCAGTAACGATCCTTGATTTTAAAATGGATACATTATGTAATTAATAAAAACCTTCAGATAAAGAGTTTTATAACTATGCATGCTTATACCTGCTCGAACATCCATTGAATAAACATTACAAGCTGTATCTGATGCAAATATTTCGCTATAATAGAATTAATTCAACCGAAAAAATATTATTACCAATCAAAAACTCTAAAAAAAAGATATATATATCTGGGGTTCACAGAATGAGAATACTAACTATGGATTTCGCCCAACACAAATCGAGACTATAGGATGTTCACCAATCTCGACATTTAAAACTGGTCGTCGTGCAGTTTTTATATCGTAAAGACGTATCTATGAAAAAAAACGGTAACTTTAATTACCGAATCTGGAACTCTTATATATTCTACTATATATCTACCTGATGATAATAAGTCCCAACCACAATTCGTGAAACATCATCATTGTCCATAAATTGCAAATCTGTAATCCAAACCGGAATCCGCATATCCAAAAAATCATTCGGAAGATTTTTAGCGCGCCACAGCACTCCAGGCGCATCTTCTTTTTTCTTTTGATACTTATTGTCGTAATTGTTTGATTGCTCATTTATTGGAGATTTTCCTGCCTTATATCCGTTAATGTCCCATGCCGTGAGATCACGTTCTTTTCCGCCAAATGCAATAATGTGATTTTGTTTAGGATGCACGCGTAGACGACAAAGATCTGATGATAGTGTTATCGTCGTATCTGATGAAGCTTTACAAGAAGACTGGATTTAAATTAGATCGCGTACAAGTTTCATAATGCTAGCCGACCATAAGACAGAATGGATAGCATGTATTCTGCAACGATTAACAATTGCTTACTTCTTCCGCTGATGGTAATGAATAATATCGCAACACTCCAAAATCAGTACAAGTCACCAGGGTACTAACGAAATGTATATAAAAAACCTAGATACTCAAAAAACAATTGATTTTCTAAAGCGATATTAAATTTAAAAGCAACCTCTCATTAGCAAACAGCCCCACAAATTTCGAAGACCGCTTATCAATGAAGCTCTTTTTCTCAACTGATCCTTTTTCTTGGGCGGTAGCGTTGATCATCGAATCATCACTGAATTTGTAAACAGGTTTCAATTCTTGTTGTGAAGTATCGACGATATTAATTTCACCATTTTGTCGAGCTATAACAACCTAATAAATATTGTTCGAGTTTATTCATCGGAAATTTGTCAATTTTGATCAAAAATTCAAAAAAATCAATCACACTTGTCTAAGGTCAGGATCATTCTCATCATTAGCAACACGTTTACACATTGCTTGAACACCACGAGACCGATCAATTTCTCCCCATGGTTTGATGATCGTTTGTATAACGGAGAAGCTTGAGTCTTTTTTATTTGATTTAGAAGGTTTCGATGGTATTGTCACCGCTAAGGAATGATATGTATCTCGATTTATTAAATTTTTGCTTGCAATTCAAATAATTGATTGATCGGTAGATCGATTGAAATGAATGATCACATTTTATTAAGCCCGTCTCGTCTCCTACCAAAAATTTCATACTGTATGTATATCAAGACGTACAAGTTAAATTATGTCACGATAAAACACACGACACTAGAGAATCGAATCAGTGATCAGCATAAATGGTTACACAACAACCACAGAACATTATTTGCGCCATTCCCGCGCCATCTTTATTGATGACGATCACTGATCACAAAAATAGCATCGTTTTCTTCGTGAGAAAAATTCAGATATCGATATCGATATCTATTGATTGAGATAATCAGCAAAGAAATTTTTTATACGCCAATTGCGTAACATAAATATTGATTGAATAGCTTTAAAAAATCTTTAATGAGATCAATGAATTATGAAAGCTGTATAGTACTTCTGACGCTATTATACATCATCATCTAAAAAAATATATATTACATGACGAGAGATTCGGATGGCTATCAAAATGTATATATATATATAAATATTAATAATAATAAGTAATAATAATATTGCTTTATTCCTATTCTAGTAAAGTAAACTTAGTTAGCTAAGCAGTAATTAATTATGATTATTATCCAAAAGATGAATAAGGATGAATGAATTAATGATAGAAATGGCAAGGAAATTTGATGACGATACACGAAGAAAAAAAATAAAGCAAACGAAAAATTAATTTGTATAATGTATTCTAATATAATTATGAAAGTACTAAAGTTCGCAATTATTTGTATTGATCGACTTATGATGATACAAAACGTAATAAAGAATAATAAACGAGTGTATTTAAAGTTCATTAATAGCAGCACTTCAACTATTATCTTATTGTCAGCTATCTATCATATACATATATTAAATGGATGATCAAGTTGACGATGATTCAGCTTCTTTTTTCAACACAGTTTTTAGAATTTCACATCGTCGTTCCATAACTGCAAGAAATTCTTCTACTTGTTTTCGAGTCATCTTCTCGACTAATGCCATAAAACTTGATTCATCATAAAAATCAAACGGTGGTGGCATGTAAGGTTGATTGGCAGTAGCAGCAGTTGTGCCATTAGTTTGGGGTGCAATGGGCACTAAATTACTTGTTTTCAGTGCAGAATCTGACGCGGATGCAATCATCGAGTTTTGTGTTCCGTATTGCTCATTTGATTGAGGAGCCATGGATATTAAAGATTCAAGTGCGACAAGAGCTTCAGGTTTCATTAGTTCTTTTTGTGCTAGTTCCTGTGCTTCTTGTTTCTCTTTTTGCTCCAAATGATCTTTTTGTTCTTGCTGCTCTTGCTGACTTGTAGCAGCGTCCGCCAGAGTTAACAATGCCGGAGCAAGAGATAATGCAAGGGATGCAATAGGACGCTGTGAATGACTAAGTGGTGACGGTGACATGGATGGACTATGAGGATTAGAATCAGCGGATATTTCTTCGGATCCTGACCCCTCAAGGTTACTTGCATTTGGATCAGGACTACTAAAATTGGAACCCCAGTCACGACGTCTACGCTGAATTTTCGATTTTCGCATAGCAATTGGTCGGTCTCGATTATGCATTTTTGCATATAATCCGCATGCATTACATAATGGTTGTCCTCGCTCGTTTTTTCGCCATAACGGCGTTTGAGTCTGACCGCAATTATTACAATGAACAGGTATTTCAGTGACAGTCGTTGAACTATCTGAAACATGATTTATATTATTGTCGATAGGTTCTTCTTTCGGCGGATGTAATGGTTCTTCTTGTTGTTCTTGATTCTGATGATCTTGCATGTCTTGATCTTTTTGCTCTTGTTTAATTTGTGGTTCTTGTTGCTGTTGTTGTCCTTTAAATTGTTGTATTTGTTGTTGCTGCTGATTTTGTGCCATTTGTTGTTCATGTTGCGCTTGCATTTGAGGTAAAAGTTGCAAGAAAGGTTGTATTTGCGGGAGTAATTGTAATAGAGGTTGTGCTTCTTCTTGCAATTGTTGTTGATTCATTTGCATCTCCACCGATTTTTGATGCTGCTGAGGTGATATCTGTGAATGCATTTGTATTTGTGCGTGTATGGGCTGTGAATATGATTGTGATGATGATTCTGTGATTAATCCTCCTCCAGCATTCATAGCAGACGATGATGAATTATTGTTATTACTTGAAACTCTTTGTTTCTCAGCTGGTAAAATATAAGGAGGATATGGTCGAGATGGTGGTCTGGTCTTGTGTATAATATGCAAAGGCCTATGGGTACTATACTGTTTATAATAAAGACCACATGCATTACACAGCGAATGCATTCTATCGGGTGTTCGACGCCAAAGCGGCGTACTATTAATACCACAATTATAACATTCGAGTTGACGTGGCTGTCTATTCAACGTCTTCTTCACGGGATTCATCGTACGCTGCTGTGTTGCTGTTGTTGCTGCTGTCATATTATTATGTGTGAGTGGTTGCTCAGTATACGATGCAATCGCGGCTAAATGTGAATTTGTAGTAATCGCAGTGGATAGATTTGTCTGATGTTCTGCAGCAGCATCTGGCATCTCGATATCTACTTCTCCAGGCGTTGGTGGTGTCGTCGATTGTGGTGTTGTCTGTGATGATAGAGTGTCTGTATCAGAAGTCTCGCCGCTGGCGCCTTCTCGTTCGATATTACTTTCACCCACATGTTTTCGAGATGCGGCAACACCTGTGAAATGAAAATGAGGAGGTAACGAAAAGTGTTGGTGAACTGAAAATTTGGCAATTACGTGTATCGCTTGATTCATTGTTCGTACACTTACCATTATTGTCCTTTTTCGACATTTTACGACTTTTCGCTTTATTCTGTTAATGTATTTTAAAAAAGGGACAAAACTTCTTACTAAACCTCGTGAAATTTGTGTAAAAGAAAAAGAGATGGGGAGACTTTTGTTACTCACCACAAATTACGAGAAAAACTATTATTTTGTAAAACAACGATATAATGTATAATGGACCAATTTTTCTTTAGTGTGTTAATGTTAATGTGGTAAAGTTTGTACATTAACGATAATAGTGAAGAATAACCGATATTTTTTAATGAATATTATATATTATAGATGATGATAATAATAATACAGACAGACAAGATAATAAATAAATGTGAACAAGAAATTGTTTATCACTCAATCACCGCTATATCTGCAATAATCCGAATGATGATATGTCACCACCAATCTTTGTTTTTTGTGTGATAGATCTTCCGAAATCTCCTCAATCTCCGTGTTCGCTCGTATAACACGATTTTTTACTTGGGAAAGTTGACCAAGTCCGTCCGGTAGATGCCATTGGTTAAGCCCATCAGTTCCCACACTCCACACAAAGTTGGTCAATCTTTATGGTCACAGCCACATGCCGATGATTGGCCTGACTCTGGTGCGGCACACAAAATCGGGCAATTTTAATTGTATACACGTCTTAAAAGAATGATGCAAGTTCATTCAAGATCCACAATTATTGCGTACCACCTGACACAAAAAAGTAATGATAACAATAAAATATTCCATTTCAAAAAAAAGGGAAATACATTATTTTATTACCAAACAAGAGAAACATGACAATATTTTATTGGGCAAAAATTAGTAGTGAAAATGGCAAAGAGAGAAATCCGAGCATGTGTTGCCTTTCCAAGAAAGAAGGATTTAATAAGAATGAGATTTGAATATAACGATAAACCAGAAAGAGAATTTAAAACAGTGATTGTGATTGGGTTGTGCCAGACTCACAACATGGTACGTATTTGTTAAAAATTTGGAATCATTGAAAATTCCCATTATTGAAATACATGTATCTTCCTTGCATATAATAATACTAATGGTAATACAAAGTTGAAATACATGTATCTTCCTTGCATATAATACCATCAATAATGGTAATACAAAGATAAGCACCACCAATAAAGAAAGATCTTTTTACCAAATCCCTTTGTTTAAATCCCTTTGTGTCAGTCTATATCGATATCGATATATCGTCTATGGTAATGATACACATGTACTCACACATCAAATTAATTAGCTCAAATGTATGGATCGTTGAATCAATAAAGAAAAACAATCGGAAACAAAAATTTAATATATAGTGAACCTAATTTTAATCAAGCATTATATTCTCATTGTTCGATTTTCGGCTGCTGCCATTTATATACATGCAGATTGTCTAAAATCCGATATTGGGATTTTTGAGTGCGCAAAATTAAGAACGAAAGATAATATTTTATTGGACACTTGAAAAATCACACATCTTTTTTAATCTGACGATTATTAGTGATCATCAAATTTCAGAACAGTAAGCGCCTCATCACCTCGATCTTTATACATCTCCAATGTGTCGTAATCACTTGAATACAAATAAGTACGACCAGTAGCAACCCCAACATTCATAAATCTATTATCGGAGGATAAATTAATAGCCATTATTGGGCTATCGTGATTCGCAAAATTCTTGATCAAGGGAGAATGTTCTCCGAGTCTTAGATCCCAACCACGTACACATGAGTCCGCCCCACCAGTCATAATGACGTTACCAGAGCTCCAAGCCACTGAGTTCACCCCCTCGCGGTCATCATAATTATTATAATTGGATTTATGCTTATGTTTGAGGAGGTGTAGATGTCGATTCATTTGACGGATATCAAAGATGGTAACCTGATTGCTCATTCCACCAACACCAACGAAATTTCCGGACGGGGAGAAAGTGACTAGGTTTGCGTCCTCTTCGTTGGTTTCTCCTCTGGCGAAAACTTCGCTTGCACGTGGGTCGAAAAGGTACAGCATCCGATCACCTTTTTCTGCTATTGTTTTTTTCCCGTTTTTCTTTGATCCACCGGTAGTTGCACATGCGCCAAATTTGCCACAATTTGAGATCGCAACACATGACACACTTTGTTTAATTTTTATTTTTGAGAGAATAGCACTTGATTCAATGTCCCACATTTGAATTACGCCTTCTCCATAGCCACATTTCCCATAATACCCAACGATCAGTTTATTAGCAGATCGTTTCCGGCCAAATACGAGATCGCTTGCCACTCGATCTCTAGACTCTGTATTTATAAATGACGTCACATCATCGATTGAATAATCCTCGTCTTCACATATCCTAAAAAGTGAGACGATTCCTTCGTTTTCACAAGTGGCAAATAACTCATCGTTAGATCCCAGGGAATTATCAATTACTAATCGATTTATTTGACTATTACAAGTATATGTGTGCAATAAATCACCAGGGCGATTTTTTGTATCCCATAATTTGACAGTTCTGTCAATCGATACCGAGATCATCATATCACCGTCAGCTACGAATTTGACATCGGTCACCGTTTTGTAGATTTTCTGTGATTCTTGGCTCCTCAAATTTGGTTGTATATTGTGACCGCCCAATGAATATATCTTTGAGTTGAGGATATCCCAATATTTTAAATTTCCTATGGTGTTGTAAGTTGGATCTTCATTGGCTACACATGCAATTGCAAGCTTTGGTCGATCTTTATCATTGAAAGAGATTTCCAGTACGTCGCCACTGCTGTCGTGAATTGACTTTACGAACTCAAGTTGATCCAGACTTATCCGTGTTGCGATTGTTGACATGTGTCTTGTTGGAAGGCTCTTTAGTTCCTTCTCCACTAATAAATTCACTAATGGTGTTTGATGTATTTGATTATAGGTGAATTGTAGGGATGATGAATATGAGAATGGTGATGATGATTGCCGCGTATTCGGATCTTTTTTGACTTTGAATTTCTTTTCGTTATTTGCGAATTCTTTTGTGTCTGATTGAATCGGCAATTCATGTTCATTTTTTGTCCGTTCCTTCATCTCAGATTGAATTGATTGACTATGTAATTCACATTCAAAAACAATATCTTCAATGATAGTTTCCACCGAGATATCTTTTGATATGGGAAAAGCAATAATATCATGATATGGATCTGAACTAACAAATCCCACTTCCGGTTCCTCATCATCAAGATCACTAAAATCATTATCTTCAACCTCACTCAATTCTCCATTTTGATCATCATCATCATCATCATCATCATCATCATCGATTAGACTTATCGCGAAGTTTGAATTCGGTGTTGAATTTCCATGATTGAATCTGAGATCTCTTTGATTACTACTGTTATTACTATAATTACTATTAATATTATGAAGATTGTCCTTTTTCTTTTGGATCGGTTTCTTCTGAATCGACTTACTATTTTTGGTGTTCAATTGGTCACTTTCTTCGTCGTCATCATCACTAATTACAATTATCTCCTTTGTTGTTGTTATTTTTGTTGTTAATGTTTCTTTAGTGTTACATAAACTATTATTATCTAAACTTTGAAGTACTCTAACATTATTACACTCATCATGATTCATATTAAAATGATTACTACTACTATAGCAAGAAGCAATGGTAGTAGCAGATGTCGTAGCTTTAAAATGTTCTTGTCTAGGATGATTATTGTAAATCTGTTTGCGAGTTTTCACCTCTCGAACGCCAGATTTCATCTTCTCGTGAGTAACATGAGTTGGTAAAGAATTACCACCCAAAGGTATTTCCAGTGAAGTGGGTTGCTCTTGACGTCTCGGTTCAATAACAATAGGTGAATTATAAGACCCATCAACAGATCCATAATCCCGATGAACAAGTAATGTGGTGCGATTGTTGTCTGCTGCTTCCTTGTATCTAATCGCATCCCTTCTGAGGTCTGTTGGACTGTTGCTATTTCCTCCACGACTAACTACAGTAACAGTCTCAAATTTGCCTCGCTTCTCGTTACCTAATGGTATTTTATCACCGGATGTGCGTCGTTTCTGTGGAACAGAACGACTTGCTGAGGATGATGTTCCGGGGTGTTTGAATTTCTTCATGAAGACAATTTATTATTAAGAAAAGTGTTGTTTACCTTTGATGGTTGGTTGAAGTGGTCATGATTTTACTTATATCGCGTGTACCCCCCTGTATAATAAACAACAGCCACGAATTATTATGATGATGATCAGCATTATTATTCTTTGTAGATCATTGCTTTAATCAGTGATCCAAATGTGTGCCAGGGCGACCACCAAAAGTTCGGGCCACGTGATAATTCTTTGATGATGCGAAAAGGGTTTGGATCTGGGTAAAGGTTATTGGCAAACAAAAAATGTACTTATAAGGGAACATTTTTTATTAGAACACAAAAGATAGTTTCATAGACTAGATTTTGAGATACAGCTTTTTTGTTTACTTTTGAATTTTTGTGTTACACGTTGATCTTACAATTTAATTGGTCATCATCGCTGACATCATCAAAAAATTATCACGTGGCCCGAACTTTTGGAGGTCGTCCTGGTAGATTCTGTGATCGTTTCTTTAGTCAGTGATCCGGATGTCATATATAGTGAAAATAATATATTTCAATACTTTAAAGTCACATGCGTTTCTCGTGAATGCAACATTTATAATAAATTCCTTATAAAGAGATATATAATAAACAATAAATGATGAATGATTCCTTAACGAATTCTAGTGTAATCAACCATTGGTTTGATCGGTTGTGGAATTAATGTAGTATAATCGGAATCGGGAAATTTGTCATTATGTAGTTTAAGATCATATGTACGTACAAAAGTGGCAATAATGGTTTTTATTTGTAGAAAAGCAAATGGTTCACCAATGCATCGATGACGACCTAAACAATTAGAAAAGGAAAATATGAGCAAATGAAAAACATATAAATAAAATAGAATAGAGAAAAACAAATAATTACCAGCTCCAAATGGAAGATAAGGTGACTTTGCCGAAGTGGTATGCATCGCACCCCATCCATAATCAACAATATCATCATCCGTGACTTTTACATCTTTATCAAACTTTTCCCATCGTGACGGCAAAAATTTCTCAGGATCATCGAAATACTGATCGGCTCTTTGACTCATAACTGGCACCGCCTGAATATAAGAGCCTTTCGGAACCACATAATTGGTATTTGGTATCGGGATATCACGATTAGCTTTCCGCATCATATTCGTGATCGGGGGTCGAAGTCGAAGCGTTTCACGAACAATGCTATCAAGCAACAACAGTTTTTTCACTGTTTCCAAGGTGAGTGGGGCATCTAAAGACCCGAGAACCTTGATTTGTTCTTCTCGTAGTTTCTCGAATAGATGCGGGTTTTGTGCGAGAAATATGAATGCCCATGCTGAGGTCGTCGAACTTGTGTGTTGCCCGGCCAATAGTAAAGCAATCATTATATGCGCTACTTCGACATCGGGGAGACGTCTGCCATTTTTATAATGACATTGTTTCATTAGATAGGACATGATGTCAGTGCGTTCGTCATCCATCCCCGACACTCGACGCGATTCCATGATATTCAGAAAGAAATTTCGCATTTTTATGTGGGCCTTGTCGCGTAATTTGTTTGCTGGTATGGGAAGGTCTTCAAAAACAAAGTTAATTGGGGCGAAGCCTCCATCGAGATCATGAAAAATTTGTGCGACTATATATTTATTATAGAAAATATTAATATTAATATTAATTAATTTCTCACATAGAAAAAAAGGTGTGAACTTTTACATGATTCATTCATTTTTGATCGAACTTCTTCGCCCAATAAACATCGAGACGCAGTCAAAATTGTGAGTTCAGAAGATGCTTTATATATATCCTCAACACCAGACTGTTTATCCCACCGAGCAAAATAATCTGTTGTCTCTTTGACAAGCAAAGAAGCATATGCTTCTAATCTTTCATTTGACAATCCAGCTTTGACGAATCTGCATTTTAAATTTAATTAATTTATGAAATTTGAAAAAAAACGAAATATCGAATAAATAAATTTCATACTTCTTTTGTTCCATCAGTACTGAATTTTCCACATCGTACACAACTCCTTTCCCGAATACCGGTACTGTCAATGATTTATATGCGTCTTCGGCAGACGCGTCGGCCAGTTTCGCGTTAAATACAAAATTGTTGCCTTCGCTACCAAGACAAGTGACCATTTTTTTCCCGAGTAATAGAAATTGATAGTAATCTCCATACTGTATGAGAAGAGAAGTAATTGTGAAACAATTGATATCAATTAATTAGTTGAATATATATTTTTTTATGTATTAACCTCTTTTTGACATTTTGCATAGAAACCGAATGGGTCTATGCCCAACCAAAGAGCAGACCCGAATACAGGAATCCAATATGGGACCATGGGAGGTTCATTTGGTTTCAGTCTAGGGTACTTTATTATTATCAGACCCCAAAAAATGTAATAACATATCGATATTAGACTTGGACTTAACAAAAATGCAGTCAAACCTCATAAATTAATTAAATCTCGATATAACGATGAAACACTTCCTTCGATATAACGGATTTTATAATAACTTCTCAATATAACGATATTTGCAGAGATTTTAATAATTACCCTGAGCATATCGTTGTATCTGGATTTGACAAATACACAAATATCTCAAATAAAAAAACTTTACAGCAAGATTCCTCAACATGTATAAAAACATCCCGCCAACGACCAACCCAATCGCAGCCACGAGGAGGATACTATCAGTATTTGCATCTTTAACAAGCGGAGCAAAAACAGAATGACGACTGATTGTCGCGTTAACATGGTGAGCAAAGGGCTCTAGATATGTGTCATAGGCAGCCTTCCATAAACGTACTGACATTTTTGCGTGACGTTAAGAGGTAGAATTTTTTAACCTCCCGGGACTGCATTTATTGTTGGATCTATGAAAGATCTTAGTAAAATATGTACCATACTCATCCGGGTATACTAAATGAATTGCCATACAGTTATTTGTATTACTCAATTTTTAGCTTTTTATGTGAAAGAATATGTATGCAAGGTTACAAATAAGACTTCTTTAGCTAGCATTTACATTTTCTCTAATGGCTTCAATCCCAATAATCTTAATCCATTACCCATTGTCAATTTCGCTGTCCAAAAAAGCAACAACCGAGATTCCGCGAGATCTTGATTCATTCCTTTAACTCTTAGAATGCGGACAGCTTGAGAAATAGTGTGCGCAAGAGTAAATAGATAGTGAGTTAATATGCGTGGTTGGGATTCGTCAAATGATTTTAAGACAGTGTCCGGATACTGTGCTATCTGGAATGCTAGTTCGAAAGCTTCTGGATCCTTGAGAAACTTGGGATCCGCAGAAAAATTCAATTTGACATCGGCTTTTTCTTCGATGCTTTTGAAAAAATTTTTGAGTTAGTTAGAGTAGAACATTATTAATTTGAATATAATATGTATTATTTCGAAACACTTGCCCATTTAATCGAGCATGTGCATATTGAAGAAATACACCCGTATTTCCATGACTATCCATCATTCGCTTCCACGAAAAATCATAATCCAACTGCCTATCTCGTGAAAAATCTTCTATCACTACTGCTGAAATTCCTACAATATCCGCAATCTTTACTGCAGCCGCTTCACCACTCGGGAACAAAACATCTAAATCTTCTTGCTGCTGCTGATCTATTGAAGAAGGAGTAGCTGGTGATGATGATGACGATAAAGACATCCGATTCGCTCCCTCTTTAATTTCTTGATATTTCTTTTCATTTTCCTTGATTATTTCCAGCATATGTTGCTGTGAATTATCCAACAAGTCTTTGAGAAATACCGCAGTGCCTTTGCGAGTTGACATCCCATTAATTATTCCAAAGTGAATATGTTGCAGCTGATTTGCCCAGTTCTCTTGTTGTTTATTAATATCGTCGTATTCTGTAGAATTTAATATTTCCAGTATTTTAAATAATCGCTGGAAATGTACTTGTTGTGACACCCCAACCACGTAGAGCATCTTATCGAAATTATACTTTTGTTTGCGGTCTATTGCAGCTGCTATATCCCGCGTTATATATAAGGATGTTTCGTCGTGGCGTTTTACCACCGGTGAACCCAAATTATATTTCTCTAAATCAACGTATAGAGAACCATCTTTTTGTTGCAATAGTCCTTTGGCGCGTAGCAGATCAATCACTTTTGGAATGTCTTTATGAGTTTCTGATTCACCGGAATATATATCAAAACTAATATTTAGTCTTTTATATAAAGACTGATATTCAGTTATGCTTAACTCGCGAAATTCTCGCCATAGTGTCAGGACAGATTCATCCCCTTGTATAGTAAATGCGAATTTTATTAACAATATTCCAGGAGATAAAGTTTCAGATTAATTACTCGTTCTTATTTACCATCCTCCATTTTTTTGAAGCATTGATTTGCTTCTTCGTTGATGCTATTGTCTTCGCCTGCTTCCTTACAAATTCGAACATATACATCATATAGATGATACACAGGATTTTGCAACAGCTGTTCACGCGATCCAAACTTGTTAAATCCAACAGCCAGCAGACCTATCAATAATAAATTTTAAAATTATCTGCTTTCGATCACTTTATATAACACACATCATCAATTAGATAATCACCATACTGTTTACCCCAATCGCCCAAGTAATTGACACATATTGTCTTGTATCCCAATGCTTCGTGAATTCTTTTCAAAAAGCTCCCGAGAATTGTACTTTTCAAATGTCCTGCGTGGAATGGCTTCGCGATATTGGGCGAACTGAAATCAATCAGTACTGTTCTGCCTTCACCATATTTCGGGAAAGTGCCATAAGATGTTTGTTCACGTATGACCTGATCAAGTACTTGACGTATAAGCTCGATACGTTGTATATTGAAATTCAGATATGTTCCGAGTGGTGTACAATCAGCGATAAATGTATCAGGTTGAAACTAACGTGAATCAATCCGAGATAAATTTAGACATTGTCTATGTGTAAAATGACAAATTTTTTATTATTAAATACGTCGGATCATACGTGTCCAAACCTTCTCTGCCAATTCCTTTGTATATTCAGTAGGATTCTTTGGTTCGTATGGTGGTTGGTGTTGTTCTAGTGATGCACTCTTCTCTTTAGTTATTTTTCTTTTTTTTCGTTGACCTCTGCGTGAATTAGCCAGCAGTTTTGGAACTATTACGGCGAATTGTCCAAATTCCTTTTTTGGTGGTAGTTCTATATATTCTAATGCTTTGGTTTCTGGTTCTCCAGTGAGTTGCGACAGTTGACTTGCAATTGCTTTTTTAAAGTTCATTAAGACACCATTTGAGGTGTGTTTGGATATCCGTGAAGTTAGTGACATCTCGAGTTACGATTGAAAGTATGCTTTTGATTGGTTTTTGTCATCTACTCGCGAAGATCACACTTTGTATACACGAATTTTATTGTGCAGATATTTCTTCTAAATGTCGAAAGTAAAAAGAAACGATAAAGTAAAAAGAAACGATAAAGCAAAAAGACCGCAAAATCAAGGAAAGCCACAAAATGAATCCAAAGAACGGCATAAAGACGCAATTTCACGGCAAATATCTGTAAAAAAGGGTTCCAATAAAAAACAACGGCAAAAATGTCATTTGACTGCACTATCCCCTGAAGTCTTTATAAATATTTGCCAGTACCTTCCGCCCGAAGATTTGAACCGTTTAGCTCTTACTTGCAAATCGTTTTTTAATTTCCTTTTTTCCGAGTCAGAGTCTACGCAATTGATGTGGAAGCATTCGCGCACAAAATACTCCTCGTTTCACCGTCAGTTACCACCACCCAGAGGAATGAGTGAACTAGACTATACGAAATTGGTGTTTGGCAAAATTTGTCAAATTTGCAAATGTCGGATATTTAAACCGAAAATTGATTGGAATTTTCAAGTTCGCTGTTGTACTGAATGCTATAACCAAAATGTTGGAACGTAAGTTGCGATTTTGATATTCAAATATGATAATTCTATCTCTAAACAAATCTCGCTTTTTTTAATCTAGTGTTTTAAAAATCATGTCAAAATTTCCGGTACGACTTCCAGAATCAGTATGGAAAACCTTACCGCACCGTTACAACTCAAAAAGTGAACGAATATATTGGATCGCAGATGTAATAGTCCGTTATCAAGAATACAAAGCTCTCGATAACGATAACGATAACAATGTGACTGAAAAAACATTGTGGATCGAGAAAAAAGCTGCCGAGAACGCAGTTTACATAGAAGATCAAGCCCACCGCGATGAGCTTTACAAACGCTCATTTCGACATAAAAGCGCAAACAAGCGTCTAGGAAAGAAAGCACGAATTGAGACAATCGATGCTCGAATAGCTGAATTCTGTTCGCAGTGTTCGCAGTACGATTTTTTGTTGATGAGAAAATGTCCGTCGTATAATTTGGCTATATCGGCTGGAACAGTGTTCACGAATCGTAGTTGGACCATCTTACGAAATAAGTTGGTGAAGGAATATGATGCAGGAGAATTTATATTCTAAATTGTCTGGCAAATATGATTTCTATTAGATTAAGTGATAGTTATTACAAGCTTTCAGATCATCTATTAAGCTTGATTTCAATTTTATTTTACTCAAAATCCTCTTTTATGTAACCAAAATTTCAACTCTCGATCTCTCTTTCCTTTAATTACAATCTGGTTGCAAGTCTGACGAATCGTCACCAATTTGTCTTTCGTATCGTTAGGAAAAAATTCCTCCTTTATATCTTGAGCTAATTTCTTTTTTCCCAAAATAAATAAATTAGTATACCAATGCATAAATAAATTCTCAAATAAATACGAAATTATTTAATACCTTAACGTTTCCCTCAATTCGCCGCACGATCGTCAAAATTCGTGTACGCCCATTTTTTATGTCGGTATACACGGGTATCATGTTATATTTTGTCCGTTGAACAAAATACGGGTATTTGATCTTTGGCCGGTCAAAGTCAGGACGCGGCGGTGGATCCGAGGGGAGTATCTGCTGATGTTTTATACGAGAACTTGAAATACCATATATAGCTGGTGGAGGAGCATAAAGCATTTGCCCGTTAATATTCATTGGTGGGTAATCTAAGATTTGATCGTCGATACTCATTGGCGGGAAATCTTGAAGTGGGTTATCCAAAAGTATAGGTGAATTTTTTGATGATTTTTGTGTTTGTGCAGCAGCAGAACTCAATTTCCTTCTTGTTGTCGTCGTATCAGTAGTTGTTAAAGAATTAAGATTTTCTATTTTTTGCATTTCTAATATTCGTTCCAATTTACGCTGATAATAATTCAATGCGTTTTCCGGGATCTTTTGTTTTGGCGAGTACCCTCGGCGTGGTGCTCTCAGAATCGCGGAATGTGGAACCCCAATATTTGTATTTACTCGTGGATTATACGGTGCCTTTTTTTTGGGGAATCGTGCACCAAGGCGGGGTACTCGCGCTTTTTCTCGTTCTTTGGTGCGTTCTGCTGCTACTGCTTTTTTCTTCCACATTTCTTTGTTTTTCGCGCGAAGATATGGACCTTGTTTCGTTCGTGGTAGTAGTTTCATTGGTGGAAGTACTTGTGGGTGTTTCATTAAGGCTTTGTTTCCATTTGATCAAAGATGTGTGTAAAACGCACATACAGTATCCAGAGAAAAAGTTGTACAGAAGAAAAGTAAATGGCATGTATATATGATATATTCATTCTACGCATCAAATTAAATGATTTTTTTCAAGTCTACTAAATTGCTCAAAAAGCACTTAATAAACAATAGTTTATTACATCGTGGCGGCTTAATCCCTAATGGTTTTGGCGGCCATTCCCTTTTTTGAATTTTCGTCGACTCTAACCGGCTGCCTCTAAACCAAATATATTTTCCGAGAGTATTTCTAGTTGTTTTGGTGGTAGCCGTTATAATTAGTTGGTTCGCAGCGAGACATAGTGGACGCGCTGGTCCAAGAAACATTCTGGAAAGAAATGTGTTGATTTAAAAATCTTATCGAGAAATTATGCTATCTATACATCATCCTAACCTTATTTGGATTAGACGCACGTCAATCTATTTTGTATATATGCTTGTAGTGATAGTCTACTACATATTAATTTATAGATGGGGTTCAATGATGTTCTCAAATACTGATATTTAGGGCTTATTTAATTATTTAATTATTTAATTAATGTATTAATTACGTAATATGAGTTTTTTTAAAATTTAGTATCAAAATTTTCGTGATCTTTCATACAACATATCTATCTTGTGCAAATTTCATATTACATTTTGGCATCTGAATGACTATATTATTACCACTGTCTGCTTGACTTGGTTAACGGGATTTTTTCTTGGGGCCACTGGGCAAACAGAACAGACCTTCGACAACTACAACTAACCAACTTGCCGGCCAAAAAACACACGTCTTCAAAAAATCCAATTATTGTTAATATATTACAAAAATAAAAATATAAAAAATGGGACAAACACTATCAACCACTAACCCATTATCTTCTTCGTTCCGAAGAAGTCGTTCCTCGCTATTGCTTGGCATCGGGCTACTCATATTCTTGTATAATCGCCACGCGCAACAAGAAAGACGAAGACAAGCTCGATTATCCACGCGAAGCGACGTGCGTATCCAAGATAATAGAAATAGGCGGTCGAAACGTGTTGGTGTTGATGCGCGATTTTTAGCTCAGATTAAAAGGTTGCTTCCGATTTGTATACCCGGTAATTTTTTTTAAACAAGTAGCATGGTCGAATTGATTGGTTTTGTCTTGTTGATTCATGAAATTGGATAAGTATGTAATGAAAATTGGTCACTTTTTGTTTAGGCGTTGCTAGTAAAGAAGCAGCGTTGCTTGTCGGTTTGGCAATTGTGCTGATATGTAGAACTGCGCTTGATATTTGGTGAGTATGTTGAATGACTTGAGTCGTTAATTTTTCTATTTATATATTAATTTGATTATGATAATCAGGTTTTCAGGATTCAATGGGTAAGTCTTCACTCTCTGCTTTGTCTTTGCTTTACTATAAAATAAATCGGGAAATCTTTATTCTTTAGACACGTAGTAAAAGCCATTGTCTCTCGTGATCGCAGAAATTTTATTGCTTTGGCAGTGGTCGAGTTTGGATTCATGATGGTAATTATGACATCTATTTTTGTTTTTCATGTTGAAAGATGAATTTTGTTTTTTTTTTACTGATAATTAAATAACTATTTAACTATTCGAAAATAGTGGCCAATGAGCATAGTGAATAATTCTCTAAAATTATGTATTAGTGCTTTAGCTTTGTCATTCCGTTCGCGTCTGACTCGGGTAATTTTTTACTTTAATTTTTATTTGCTTTATTGTTAAATACTAACTTTACAATTATTTCTTATTTGTGAAGTACGCGCATGAGCAATACCTTAAAGGTATAACCTTCTACAAGGTTTCAAATATTGATAATCGAATTCAGAATGCCGATCAATTACTGACACAGGTAAGTTTTGCTTTGTTTGGTTTGTTATGATTGATCAAGAGTTATGCGTAATTTTTTTTATTCCGTGAAAATTAGGATATTGATAAATTCGCGGAAAATCTAAGTCACTTGTATTCGGATATTGCTAAACCGCTGGTTGATATCGTGTTATTCGCGTATAAATTGGGTGAAGCCATGTATGTTGATTGTTTTTTCCTATATTTTGATTTTTTTTTTTATGATTAATTTTATTAATTTATTAAAATTTTGTTTGGGAAAATATAGCGGAAAAGAAGGTAATTAATACTATTATGCCACCTATAATTTCAAATAATAACATTCTGGCTAATCTTGCTATAAATATATTAAAATATCAGCACCATTCTTTATGATCTCGTACTTCATTTTCTCTGGGTTGGTTCTTCGCGCAATGTCTCCTCCGTTTGGAAGATGTGAGTAATTTTCCGTTTTTTTGCAGTGGAAAAACTGTTTTTTTAAATGCATAAAAAATTTTTTAGATACCGCTGTCGAACAAAAACTGGAGGGCGATTTTCGATTCACTCATGTAAGCAGTTTACTTTTTTCTCGGTCTGTTACGATTGGATTCGTTTATTTGACTTTGACTTCTTGTGATGATAGTCTCGCATCATTACACATTCAGAGGAAATTGCATTCTATCGTGGCGGTGAACGAGAAAAAGGCGTAGTGAACGCGAGTTTTGACAAGATTCTTCGACATGTAAAGAAAATTTATCGACTTCGTTTTGCAAATGGCATTTTTGACTCGGTTTTAGTAAAGTACTGTGCTACTATGACTGCGTATTAGTAAGTCTTCTTTTTTTCATTATTATTTTAAATTGCCAAACATACATTTATTTAAGTCTTTGCTAATTACTTTGCTTATTTTATAGCTTGTTGGCCAGACCGGTGTTCGATCCTCGTTATGGTAAAGTAATAAATATTAGGAGTCAATTAAAATCTTTTTTATAAAATTTATTAAATTGAATATTTTGGGGAATGCAGCAACGGAGCATATGGGAAAACTTGATGCGGATCCAACAAAAATTATGGAAGATTATTCCCGAAATTGCAAGTATTGTTTGGGTGTCTGTAAATCCGTTTCGTCAGTGCGAACCCGAAATATTAATTTTTTTTATAATTTGACAGCTGGCTATCTCGTTAATTTATCACAGGCAGTTGGAAGATTAATTTTGGCGGGACGTGATTTGACAAGATTTGCAGGGTATACGGTTTGTAGAGAAAGCAACCTTTTTTTCTCGTGCAGTCTGACATTATTGTATTTAATTTATTTATTTTTTTATATATATCCAGTCTCGAGTTTCTGAATTATTTGATGTACTTGATGATGTCAATAATGATCGATATGAAAGAACAGTGGTCTCTAAAGATTCGAGTGAAGCTAATGTCAATAAAGGTACCAACTATGCAGTACATTAAAAAAACCCCCCCAATCAGTCATTCGAGTAATAACTAACGGACGGTTTTGTAATCATTTAATAGAGATAACGCCCGCGGATCTCAAAGGGCGTATTATAACACAAGATGGTGTCATAAACTTTGAAAATGTTCCTATTCAAACTCCAAATCATGATGTTTTGGTATGGATTTTTCGGAGGGTTATTATTTGTATTTTTTAAGTAGCTAAGAATTAATGATAAATTTCATTTTTAGGTGAAGGATATGTCATTCAAGGTTGAAACCGGAATGAATTGCTTGATTTCTGGACCTAATGGATGCGTATGTTTTATTTTTATTAGTAATTTATTAAAATTGGTTGTTTTTCGAGTTTTGATTGATCTTTTTGTTGTATATTTATAGGGGAAAAGTTCTCTATTCAGGATTCTTGGAGATTTATGGCCACTATTTGGTTAGATAGTGTTATTTTTTTAATGTCATTATTTATTTGATTCTAAATGACTATAGTGGTAATTTTTGATATCTCCAATATAGATGGCATACTCACAAAACCTTCTTCGGATAAACTGTTTTATGTTCCTCAAAAGCCATATTTGGCACTTGGAACATTCCGTGATCAAGTGTGTATTATTACACTTAGTATTCAAAAATTTATTTGTTTTTCTGATTATTCTAATTACTGTCTTATAATACTAACGCCCAACCATTATTAGATTACTTATCCTGATAACAAAGTTCAAGCCCGTAGAAGAGGTTATGACGACGAAGCGTTAATGGAATTACTCAACGTTGTGCACTTGAGTTACCTCGTTGAACGTGAAGGTGGCTGGGATGCTGTACAAGATTGGGCGGATGTTTTATCGGGTGGTGAAAAACAGGTAATCATTATATGACATGTTGTTTATTGTTGGTAAACTTTTAAATTAATTTTTTTGTTTTTTTTTTCCTATGAAATAGCGGGTGGCTATGGCTCGATTGTTTTATCATAAACCTCAATTTGTAAGTTTTTTTTTTGTGTTATTCGTTTATAAATGCTAAAGAATTCATCCTTTTTTTTTTATTTTATTGATTTTTAGGCTATTTTAGATGAGTGCACGAGTGCTGTCAGTGTAGATGTTGAAGGGATTATGTACACACATGCTAAGGAATTAGGAATCACATTATTCACGGTTTCTCATCGCGTGTCATTGGTAAGCGAGCAAGCTCGTGTTTTTTTTCTTTAGTTAATTTGAAATTTCGTGTATTTTCTCAGAGTTATTAACTTTATTTTATATATACGACTTAAAATGTACTGAATATATAAAGTGTGAGTATTTCCTAATTAAAGTAAATTGTCAATTTGATCCACTGTAAACTTTTTCTAATATTACATTTTCGAACTTAGTTAAATATCACGAATGGCTACTTCGTTTCGATGGTGAAGGTGACTATGAGTTTAGAAAGTAGGCATTACTTATCAATCCTTAATCTTTTGAAGTATACAGCATGTACGATAACTTAATGATCTCATACATTACATATGAAATTAATAGACTCGAAGAAAGTGATCTAACTGCACCATTCGCGTCCGCAAACAAGGCATCTGCATCAACATCAGGTAAAAAGACACGTCACGATGAAGAAGAGAAAAGCGAAGAGGATGAAGGTGACGAAGCGGATAACGAGAAAAATAGCATGACAAGTAGTAATGGAGATGATTGATTTATTCGCCTTATCATCGTCGCGAAAGTCTCGTTCTTTTGTAACGAATGGCATATATATATATATATATATATATATATATATATATATATATATATATATATATATATATCAATAACAAAGGTCAATAATCTTACCACGAGGAATGTTCGGCTCATTATCAACATCAGGCGATTGAGGAGGGTTAGTGTGTATGTGTTTTTGTGGTAGTTTTGGGGTTATGGCGAGACATTTGGACGCTCTAATTTTTTGTTAGTTTAGTAATTTGTTTGGTTAAATATATAAAAGATTGAAATTAAAGTCATCAAAATCAAATAATCTAATATTATTTAATATTTAATGAATATATTGATATAATAATTAGGCGCAGTTAAAATAATTGTCGTCATGTAAAGTTTATAATTAAATGTGTACAATTGCATTATGCAAATTTCACATAATTTTGAAGTGGTGTTACACAGCAGTGAGGTGTAAACTCCTTAATTTATAGGTCAACAATGATTTAATTTATCATTCAACCACTTGAACCCATCATACAAACCTTCACCTGAGCAAGCACACGATTCCTGTACAAACCATTCACAACGATGATTTATTGATTCTAGACATTGCACCCAATACTTCTTTTTTGTTGGCAAAAATTAAGAATAGGGGAAGAGGGGGAGGTCGTGAAAATGAAAATGGATTTAGTGATGAAGCAGTTGCTTTATTTGTGATGAGTCTTTTTGTTTATCTGTAAATAAGGAATGTATTTCTGTCGAGTCTACGACAAAAATTGCGAGTGCTACGGATTTATCTGATAAATACAAAAAACGTGATTTTTCACTTGGATAAAAATTCAAGAAATAAAATACTATATACCTCGATTTTTTCCCTTTTCGTTAAGTATTGTCATCAGATTGAGATGCCGATCAAGATCAGTTAGTATCACTATCCGAGTTATTAACTTTATATTGGCAATGGTTTTCTTGGTTATTAACATTTTTGTTAAATGACAGAGTAGTTTGTCGTAACATTTGCTATGTTTTTCCAACTACTGTACATTTATTTACGCGATTTATCGATTTTTGTCTTTAAAATCGATTCTCAAATTTTAATCGATTATTAAAGTTTAATCGATTCTACAAAATTAATCGATTCTCAGAATCGATTCCTATCCCTACTCCTTGACCTATCGATGCTATTGAAAATTTCCAATTAAAGAAATTCTCGACAATAAAAGATTTTGTATGATTTGGATGCTATTGTTCTCATCTCTTTTTGGTTTAAAATGTGTACGATAGTCGAGACACATTATAAGAAAATGCACATGTGAAAATATACGAAAAAGTCTGATATGTCTGTAAAAGACATATAAAAGACCACTTTTAGATATATATATAACGATAACGCGATTTACACATGTAAAAGTGACATCAGATTTTTTCGTATATTTACAGACATATTTCCTTATAGGTACGACTATTTCGGCAAGTTGTTAAAACGTAATCATTATGCAAAAGCTGTTGTAGATATCGGCGAATTGTAACAAGCAAGATATGCAGTAAGAAAGATTATCATAAACTCGAGGATATGTCAATGTTGCCAGCATTATCCTTCGTATATTTTTAGAATAAGAAAAGAAATAATCACATAAATAGTCATGTCAAAACTTCGGCTTGAAGGCATGCGCCAGTTGTAGATGATTATAGGATGCAATCCCTGTGGCTACCAGTCTCTTTCTTTATCCACACCTATATATAAGATTTACATTAATGTTCTCAATTGTGAATCATGTAAAACAAAAAAACTATAATTGAAAAAAATCTACATTCATTTGAAAATAGGATCGATTTAAAACTTGAGTACGTATATAAAAAATCACATACAGTCAAACCTCGACAAACTGAAGTTTGCTCCAAAATCTCCCTTGATAAACCGAATTTTTCAAAATTTTTACTAAAAGTTCGGTTTAACGGGAGTTGAGTGTGTATCTAGCACATCTAGGTATTTTCAATTTTTAACTAAGTTCGTTTTTTTTTTTATTTATTAAATTTAGACATGCTAAAAATATATATATTATGCGAGTTTTTGAGTAATTAATGTCCAGGAAGTCTTTACCGATTATTCACTTCACTTTGTTCAATTTAAATAGAAAACTATCAAGCAAAATGTAAAGTTCCATGTTAAAATATTCAGTCGTGACAATTGATGAAAATATAGTACACACGATATTTGCTATCTAATACAGAAATACTCTTTCGATAAAAATCAAAGTCATTAATGTATGGCCAATAGTAGTGAATAAATTACAGTAAGCCAAGTTCATGCTCAGGCATACACGACATCCACCAAATGTTTATTAATATTAATAAAATATCAGAAATTTTAAAATATTTTATTAATAGTTCTCGGATTTCAGAAACATTTGTTATACGTATATGATATCCGCGAAAAGATTTCAAAATATCATAATAAAATAATAAAATACGCCAGTAGAAGATTACCTATATTGCAATAGTCGATTTAAGTAATGCAAATTTAACGCTCCATGAAACTTTCCTTTACTAACGTAACGACGCTATTAACTTCTTTTGGATTTTAAGCTGGACATTTGAATAATTAGCCAAAACAACAAACATCCAAAGCATCTGCCACTCGTCTTAGAAACTCCGGCATAAAATCATTACAAATCCTTATCTTTCTTAAATAATGCGAGGCAACTCAAAACTTCCGCTACAATTCTTTATTGGGGATTCGATATCCGAAAACTCGGTTTTATTCGGATTTTTCGAATATTCGAATCTAAAAATTAAAATTCAATTACGTACGTAATTTCATGACATAAGTATGGTTGCATAAACCAATACATGTAATTTGGATTTTAGGTTGATTCGAATTTCAGACTTAGGTTCAAAATTCGAATTTTGATTAAAGTTCGAATTCGAACCCTAGGTCAAACGAAGCTTCATATTCGAATCTTGATTATTCGATTCAATTCCTACTTTTTAATTACTGTGCATGAGCCACACTTGTCACCCAAATTCATAAATATCACAATCTCGATATCATCACTTAACGATTTCACGAAAAGAAAACGTCGCACAAACGAACCGAGTAACTTGGCCCCAAGTGAATTTTGAATGTTGGACGTCTGATTTCAAGATAACTAGACGTAAAGAAAACGTCGCACAAATGAACTGAGTAACTTGTCCCAGATGAAGTTGAACGTTGAACGTCTTTTGTCATTCCGATTATGGTTGAAGCCGTCCTTTTTGCTTGTAAGAATCATTTTTTTAATATACTTTGTTTCACCATAGTGATAGATACGTAACCGTCAATTCGTCAATTAAAGGAGCGCCATTTTTGTAAATTAATGAAATTACAATGAATTTCCTTTTAAGAGTCTTGTTACCGTTACGGAGTCATTTCGTTGCCTGTTACACGTTTTTTTGGATAAATCAATGTTTTGACACAAGATCTAGGCGATTACGTACTCGGAATTAACGTTTGACTGTGCAATTTTGTTTTTCATAGTAGCTTTTTTTCGTCTATCGATCAAATAGACACACGTATTTAATAGTAACGGTAACTTATTGTTTTTTACGTTTTACTTCAAAGTATTGAGGTTTCGATAACGGAATTTAAATTTTGTAGAACAACGTATTGATATGGTAAAAATTAGAATCTAAGCTTTGGTGGGTTTGACCTGTGACTTTGGGAAACCCTCGGTTACCACATTTCGGCGAATTTGATGACCTTTTAGTTTTTGTCTTTCAGCTATAAAGAATGGAAATTAAAAAAAAAAAAACTTGTGATTTCGCAATTCCTTTATTCTTTTTCAATTCATCATTTTTTTTTACAAACATAATAAAATAAAGAAAAAACTAATGATAATAATAAAGAAAACGAAATAGTTTAAAGTTTAGGTTTGACTCTAACAAATTCATCATACACATCTTTATAAAACTGATCGTCCGTGATCACATCTAACGCTGTCAATGCCAAACACTTTGAAGCACGTATAATTCGTGTGTGTGCTTCGATTGTTTTTGCATCTTTTTCGAATTCTGGAGTGTGAATCCCATTTTTTGTGCCAAGGCTTATTCTGTTTTTGTTTCAAATTAGTAATTATTGTAAAAATTAAGGGGATACTTTACCTAAATAAAAGATTGTCATAGAAAGTTTCAATTACCGTGAGTGAATGCTAGGTACTCTATAACTCACATTTCCCTGTAGCAATGAATAAGAAAATACGGTTAGTTTTTCGTTATTATATACACTTGGGAAAACCCGTCTCTTACCATATCAGTAGATCCAGCAGAAGACAAAGGATCATACGGAAAATCGACGCCATAGTCATTCATATGCTTGGCGTATTTATTTCCGAGCTTGAGGTTCGTCAAAACATCTAACAAACATGAAATACAACGTTAGTTAATAGAGCATCAACATGAAAACAAGTTTTCTAGAGTAAAGCGTACAAATAAATCATAAGTAGTCTTAAATGTACCGTTAACCTCATGACCCCACGTAATTTTATATTTGCATCCCGTAGAAGCAGCAGCAGTAATGAAACAACTTTCAACTCTTTGCCGTAGCTTGGCGAGTTGGTCTCGCTTTTGTGAACGAATTCGAAATTTTATTGTAGTGTGGTCGGGTATAACTTTTTTTGTTTTGGATGTGAAAATGATTATTTTCAAATTCTGCTTATAGCGCAAAAAGGTGATTTAGTTACCGTTTATTACTTGACCTCCATTAGTAATGATTCCGTGAATCCTATTTGATTGAATAATAATTGAAAAATTGATTAAACTTATAAGTAGACGTTGCAAATAGAGAAACTTGCCTGTCCGATGGAAGTATCTGTTGCCGTAGTAATGAAACAGAGGTATACGCCAAAATTGCAGCATCAAGCGCGTTTTTTCCTGAATTGAAAAAATCACGAAGCAATCAGTCGAATTACAAATATTTCAAAGTCTGCAAGGTTGGACTAAAAGAACAACGAACCATTCCAAGGCGCCGCTTTTAGTAAAGTCCAAAGATAGAAAATAAAATTACTATAAATATTTGATGCAAGCAACAAACAAGTTATAAACAGATCAAATTAAAATACCAGAAGCGTGAGATGCTCGTCCAAAATATTCGATGTCAACATCAACCAAAGCCAAAAACGCTGCACCGATATTATCTTGGTTTCTATTCCACGAAGAAAATAATTTAAAATCAATCTTTCTAATATGAAATCAAACACACTTACGAAGGATGAATCATTAAGCATATGTCAACATCGTCATAAGCTCCGGCTTCAAGTAACATGATTTTTCCAAAAATGGTTTCTAAAAAACGTCAAAATATTTTATGTTAAAACTATTCTATCAAATATTTCGTTGATTATAATCTACCTTCGGCAGGCGTCCCAAATAACACCACTTTTCCTGGCATCTTCAATGACTTTAATGCTTGTTTGACGCCTAAAATTTATAGTATATATCGTTTTAGTTAATGAAGTATTTCAACGAAAAAATTGTAATCTAATACAAACCGTATGCAGCAGCAACACCGGAAATGGCGATAAGATTATGCCCGCATGCATGTCCAATGCCAGGCAACGCGTCATATCTAAAAAGATAATGGTTAACTTTAATCTCAATCGAGACAACATAGTGTTTCAAGAAAGATAACATACTCTGAATTAAACGACACAGTCCGTACTTTATCATTCGCGCTGCTACCATCCACCCTATTTTCAAATTCAGCGCGAAATGCTGTCTTTAAACCATACGCATGTCGAGTCACTTTGAACCCTTTCGCCTCTAGGTATTCGGTGAGAATCTTGTGCGCGAAATGTTCGGTTAATGCAGTTTCTGGATTTGAATGAATCTACAATAAAAGAAAGAAATAAACCACCGAATATAATCATTACAATACAATAAAATTTTATTTTATAATTTAAATTACCTGTAAACTTAATTCTCGTAATTCATTAGAAATATCTTCAATCTCCCTATCAATAATTTTGGAAATCTGACTATTATCAGTCGCCATAAAGCTATAGTGCTGCTGAAGATTTTCAATTATTGAGGATAAGAAAATCTGAAAATATATTAAATCCATTTGTTATCAAGGGATAAAAGAAATATAATCATCATAGATGCTAAGTTAGTCAATTATTTATATTTAGTATAATATTTATAATTACCGTTACTTTTAATTAAGCCGAAGAATAAATAATCCAAAAAGAGTTTTGAATGGCAAAATGATTTGATCTTTTTAATACAAAAAATTTGAATGTCGTAGACACGTGCGGGAAAGTTCATTCTGGTTTTGGTAAAAATTTCCGATAGTATAGCACCGATACAGGAGAACGACTGTATTTTTACTTAATACAGTTAATGCAGGATCAATATAGTATCGAAAGGTTTAGGTTATCGTAATACTGAATCAAATATTTACCTAAATAATACAGAACAGATTATGTTTTTCGATATAGAAATAAGAAATTCCATTTACTGTAAAATGAGCTACTCAGTAAGAAAGGGACGCATTAATCTAATAGATTTCTACTGACCTCCCAAACAGCAGCTAATGCAATACTTGTTGAAAATAATAAAAATATTCCAATCAAACCAAACCAACCAAATATCGATTTTTTTTATAATGTTATTATTCAAGTTCCAAAGAAATTCATAGTGATCGATGCTGTCCAAGCACTCGACTACTGCATTAATCGGTTAATTTAACCAAGATTTAGCTCCTGATTTCTCCTGAATCCCGAAACTTTTATATTGATCTGCTGATATCGAAAATGAAAACAATGGAAGTCGAGCATCTCTACAAAATAACGAAGATGTTTGGAGGTTTATTGGAATGCAAGTTCAAATTGATTATTCCAAAACATGAGATGTAACTATTGTTCATAAATTTCTATATTTTTAAACTAAATTTAAGCAGATTGAATTGTTAGTTGGAGATGCGAGGAGTCTTAGGGGTTTGGCTGTACTTTAACAATTAATTTTCAAAAATATTTTATGACACCTATTTGTGATGCATTAACTCTGATCAAGTTTTATTTTATAATTCATAAACTATAACGATTTGATAAGGGTCCTAAGAAATTATTTTTCTATGCTGAAATTTTTAAATTTTTTTAGTAAATATTTTCAAATAAAATGGTAATTTGTAGATTTTTTTGATTAATGATATTATTATAAATTCTTTAAATTAATTGTTCAAAAATTCTTATATTATAAAAATATAAATACAAGCATTATTATTAACTGGAAAATTTCTTGTGCACTAGTATTTTTATAAAAGAAACTAAAAAAGTAAAAAACACTTATGCTATAAAGAAATTCTTTGAAATACTAAGCAGATTTTTTAGAAAAAAAAAAACTATTTCAGAATTAAAATTTTATAATTTCAATTATTTTAATATATTTCTGAAAAAAATTAATATATATATATATAATATAAATAGCTTAAATTATACTAAAAATATCTTAAATATAATATACAAATTATCTATATTATATTATTTAAGTAATATATAAATTGTATTTACTAAATCAAAAATAAATATTATATTTTGCAGATAAGTTGAATTATATTATTTAAGTAATATATATATTAACTTTACTTTATGTATATACCAAATCAGAAATAGATATCGTATTTTGCAAATAAATTAAATTATATTATTTAAATATTTCTAGATTAAATTAGACTAAAAATATCTTAAATATAATATACAAATTGTCTATATTATATTATTTAAGTAATATATAAATTGTATTTACTAAATTAAAAATAAATATTATATTTTGCAGATAAGTTGAATTATATTATTTAAGTAATATATATATTAACTTTACTTTATATATTGTTACAAGTTTGTTCACTAATCATGAAATTAGCTTACAAACAAGAATCTGGATTGGGAATGAGTGTAAATTGATAAAGAAAATATTAAAAGAGAAGAAGAGTATCTAAGACCTATACCAATTTCTACAGAAATTGTATTTACTTGAAAAGAAATAATAATATAAAAGAGTTATGAGAGAGTAAAGATTAAAAGAAGAGAGAGAATAAAGAAATAATAAAAAGAATTTAAAAAAATGATTCTGTACTTGCGTAAAGCTTTCTAGAATTAAGATAATATAATTAGTAATAACAATAACAAAAACTCTTTCACTTTGTTTTTCTTGTAAGGAGTAATTATTAACAATTAAAAATTCAAAATAACAAAAAGTAAAATACTTATAATTCAATTTTAATAATTCTAATATAGTGATTTGTTTAGTATAATACGATATAAAGCTCAATAATTCAATAATAGCAATTTGTTCAGCACAATATAATATAAAACTATCAGAAATTTGATAGATTCAATATGATATAAAATCACTTATATACAAAATTTGAAATGTATAAAGAAAATATGAGAGGTAAAAAGTATTTGAAAAAAGATTTTTGTTAAGAAATTTTATTTTCAGTTACAATATGTCAAGTTAAGACTCAGACAGTACCTTTATTTATACATTTTATGAAATTATAAAAAGTGAAATAAATAATTATAAAAATATATAAAAGTGAAATAATTAATTATAAAAGTAAAAAGTAAAAAGTAAAATTTTGAAAAAGTGAAAAATAAAAATGAAATAAAAAGTGAAATAATAAAAAGTAAAATTATATATATAAAAGTGAAAAATAAAAAGTGAAATTTTGAAAAAGTAAAATTTCAAAAAAATGAAAAATAAAAAGTGAAAAATAAAAAGTGAAATTATATATATATAAAATTAAAAAATAAAAAGTGAAAAATAAAAAGTAAAATAATAAAAGTAAAATAATATATATATAAATAAAAAATAAAAAGTAAAATTATAAAAAGTGAAATAACTAAAAAGTGAAATAATACTAGGAAATTTTATCATTATATGAATATTTTTAGAATTTTCATGTTTTTCAATTATTTTTGAATTTGTAATTTTATGTTATTACTATAACATTATGTACTAAATCAGAAATAGATATTCTATTTTGCAAATAAAATTAAATTATATTATTTAAATATATATTATTATTTTTTACTTTATTACTTGAAAAGATTAAAATATATATTAAAAATAAATATATAATATTATAATTTAATATGATATTTACTATATTACTTGATTTTTTTTTAAATTATTATTTATTAAATTTTGAGTTATAACTAGTTTGTTTATATTTTAAATCTAAAAAAATAATTATACTTATACTGATACTTTTTTGTTTAATTATATTTATTTAATATTTATTCAAAATATAAATTAAAATTTTATAATATAAAAATTATTATTAATTAATTTGTTTTATTTTATATATTTGAAACTAATTAATTAGTATTTATCTAAAATTTTATTTTAATTAGATAGATATATAGTATTAAATAATATTTAATATTTTGTTTTATATATTTGATTATTGATAATTATTATAATAATTATATAAATAAATATACAAATAATTATTCAAAAATTATTTAAATAATTATTCAAATAATTATTTATATTTATTAATTACTTATAAATATAATATATAAATACTATAAAGTTAAAAGACAAAAAATTAATTATAAATAATTCTTAATATAAAAAAGTTATCAAATCAAATTAAAAATTTTTTTATATTAAGATTTCTTATATTAAAAATATTTTTTATTATAAAATTTTTACTTGAAATCTATAAAATTTTTTTTATATTAGAATTTCTTATACAAAAAATTTTTATATTAAAAGTTAATTTTATTTGTTTCATTTTTTAAATTAACTTTATTAATTAAAATAACTAGTATTTCTTATATAATTTCTTATTTTAATTATAAAATTGTTTTATAATCTTTTAATTTAATTGCAAAATTATATTTTTTGTATTTAATTTTTCATTTTAACTGCAAAATTATAATTATATTAATTAAATTAATAAATTAATAAATAAATGAATTAATATTTAAAATTACAAATATATTTATCTTATTATAAGAAAAAATTTCTAATTTTATTCTAACTAATTACAAAATAAATATATATTATCTATCTTTAGAAATTATATCAATTTTTTTACTTATATTTTCTATTAGTTATATTATCTCTTTTATCTGGCTTAATATTATGTGTTTTATATATTGTTATCATTTTTATATTAATAAGCAAGATATTAACTAATTATAGTAATTATATAAGAATGATAATAGTAACTGTATGTACTTGAGAGAATTGGATACTAGATGATTGGGAGAGAGTATTAAAAAGAAATAGATTCTGATACTTTCACTAGTTGGGTAAGTATTTTATAATTCAAAAGTGTGAATGATTTATTAAAATACAAAAGATGACTTCCATTAGTTGGGTAAGTCAAAGTTAAGTAAATAATAAATCAAAGATAACAATAAGTAAAAGATTAATTAGAAATATCAGTTAACTTCTATACTTTTATTACTTTTAAAAAGTACTAAGATATCTCTTTAAGATAACATAATTAAAAGATCAAAGGAATGTGAGTTACAACCAATTTTTATTATCTTAATTCATTATTCGATAATGATTCTAAGCTAAGATACATGCTACTTATATATCTATT